CTTCGGCCGATACAAGAAACAGGAGCTACGAGGCTGCAGACCCAGTCTGTGGTCGGGGTGCCGATTCTCCTGCTGTGTGAGGTGGTTGTAGACAAGCCCCTGAGTGGCGAACTCACCTGTGACCATTGGGCATGTCGCCCCGAGCCGCAGAGTTCAGGGACTCGTATAAAGATTGGGGTGTTGCCTGCCCTACCGGGCGGGGTAATAGGGAGGCAAAGCAACAATTGTGGAAGAAGTAAGCCTGTTGAAAAGGGGTCAATGCTGTGACTTAGAGGTTCGTCGGGAAGGGTTTGTTTCGACAGTTTGACTTTGGTTGGAACGACGGTTGCAAGTTGGCCGCCATTGCGGGGCCTTCATGCGCTGAAGATTTGAAGGCCTTCTCCTGCGAGTCTGAGCGCACCTCCCCTGGATCTGAGAGTCTGAAAACCTTCTCCTTCTGCCTCTCTTATTCTAAGTCTAGTCCACTGGTTCTGAGAGGAAGGCGGCAGGCGGGATTGCAACCCGTATGACCGCAGCAAGACTCAGTGGGGAGTCATCCCACCGATTGCGGGAGCTCTGGCGGGACTCATGAGGAGTCCTGGAGGCAGGGAATTGAAAGGTAATCGTTGCTTTCCCTCTATATACCCTGGTATAACCCGTACCTGTACATCTCTCTATGGTTGGCTGAGTATATTGAGTTTGCCCCTACTTTGACTTTGGTTTGACCGGCAGGACACTACTAAGACTAAGTAAAGGAATGTGTGTGCAATCTCAGTTTCAATTTTTGTTGATTGTCTGAAGGCAGATTGTGAACACAAAGGGTTGCATCTGGGGGAAGGGTGGGTGAAAGGTGGTTTTGCTTGAGCCTGAATGGTCCTACGGGGTCAAACCAGTTCGATAAGACTGGACAGCGTGACCGCTGTGTTTTATTCTTGAATTGCATGGAGAGTCCGACCAGTTCCATAAGATTGGACGGTCTGATTGCTCTGAATTGTGAGGGTTTGATTGTGGCTGACTTTTCAGGGGCCAAACCTGTACCATAAGATTCGAGGGTTTGGTTGCCATGTTTGGTTGGGGTTTGTTCTGTTTCTTCTGTTTTTTATCAAGGAGGCCTGAGCAAGTCCATGAGATTGGACGACTCAGCCCCTTCCTGTTTTCATTCAGAGGGAGTAATTTTTGCTGAGGGCAGGGCATGTCCATAAGATTGGACGGCCTTGGACTCATGCCGCACACAGTGGGATCAGAGAGAAACGAACCTGGCAGAGGACCAGATATGTTCCATAAGATTGGACATTCTGGCCCAAAGCCTCGTACATGTTGGAACCCAAAAGGTTAAATTTTGGTTTTATTTTATACTATCCTATTTATGAACACGCTAGTCAGGCATGGGTTCCATAAGATTGGACGGTCTGGCTATAGCTTATCATGAAATGAAGAGAGTATAACTAAGAGTATAATTGAAGGTAACCCTGGGCAGGTTGGACCTTGTTCTAAGATGAACGGCTCAGTCTTATGCCCAACTTTTGGACACCAAGCTCAGAGAGGTATATATAATTTGGATATTAAACAGTCTGGGGCGGTTGAGCCTTGTTCTAAGATGAACGGCTTAGTCATATGCCCAAGAGGAAGGGAGAAGTAGTTGTGCAACCTGTTCGTGTATACTCAATGGTTGAGTCAGACGGGTTCCATAAGATTGGACGACTTGACTTTACGCCTTATGTAAGCTGGGTATAAAGGGGTAAAGCATTGAACGGTTATGAACTATTGTTTGCCAACGGTGATTTGGGTTGGTGAGAGTACTTACCCTTGTGGTTTGGCCTGCATGTGACTAAGCGAGACTACTACTTGGTATGAGTTTCAGTTTGACAGGTAGTTGCTGTAGTTGCTCGCCACGTGCTAGAGCAATAGGAGTTAACTTCAATTTCTGCATTTTCTGAGCTAAGTTTTTTTTCTTAGATTCATTCTTGCATTTTCTGGGATCTTTTGTTATACTTGGCTTTGCATCAATTTTGGTTAGCTACTTTCTCTACGGGAAGCGCTGCCGAAATTTCTGCAAATCCAAGGAGTTAGTCAAATGTTGACTTGTCAAAGTTTAACTTGTCTAAAGTTTATATATGACTTAGTAGAAATCTGGAAAGTCTCCTTTTCTAAAGGGAGTGCTGCCCAAATTTTGCTAATTCAGAGAGTTAGACAAAATTGGACTTTGGAAAGTCAAAGACTATTTCTGATTTCATATTTGGGCTGATATAAATTATGAAAAGACACTTTTCCTACGGGAAGCGCTGCCGAAATTTTCTTGATTTAGAGGACATAAATTATATTTTGACAGGTGGCGATTCTGGCGATCCACCCTGTATAGGGGAGACTCTGCCAAGGTCTACCTCTGCTTTGGGCACTGCTTGAGGGTAGACTTAGGCTTAGTTAATTAGGATGATTTGAGTGAGATCGTGATATGGGGATTATTCTCGATGAACTTATAGATTTAGCCGTGGGCATTGACCTGTCTTGTCTTACAGGCCATCTTGATCGATTTGGTTCAGGATTTGGACTAGTTTCAACTTTGATCCTACGAGGATCACCTTCTGTTATCACTGATAGCAGGTCGGTTGCCGATTCGTCGATTTACGATTCAACTCCAATCCACTCTTGCCACTCAACCTAAAAGCGTTAACCCTGTGGTTTGGATTGTTTCATTATGTTTTTACCCGGACTTTATTGAATGGTCATTTAAGAAAAGTACCGAGCATTTATTTTTGGGAGTTGCACAAGAGTGAGGTTTGCATAACAAAAGCGAGGGGTATGAGTGCGAGAAATGGTTGAAGTTGACCCCATGTAGTGTGTGGACTTCTGGTTGAATCTTTGATGTGATTGCAAGTATGGTTATGGTTCGGACTCTGGATGTGATTGCCTGCGATTTCATACATATATGGCTGAGAGGAGCCTCACTGGATGTAATCAACCTTTACGTATTTATAAGTTCCCCGAGTATTTGAGAGGCCTACTGTGAGTGTGAATAAGGGTTAACTGGATTATGTCTCAAGCAGGAAGGGAGGTTCCCTTTCTACCCTTGCTTTTTAGAGTTTGTATGGTTGGGCGTTGTAGTCCGTGGCAGCCGTCAAAGTCAAACCCCTTGACTTTCGCCCAGACCCGGAGTGAGACTCATCTCCAGGGCAGTAAGAGGCGACTGCCTCCACAGGTATGGACCTGTGTACCACCCACTGTGCACAGAGTGCAGAAGAGGGCGTGTGGTCTTTAACCGCGCATGGCGGTTGTCCAGTGTCGAGAGATTAACCCTCAAGGTGCGTGTGAGCCGACACTTGAGTGTCGAACGCGACCCTCGAGATTAACGAGGGCCGCGCGAGCATGGGTACTACATGGTACGTCATCATCGCGACTGCTTGCGTGCGTTTGCATTGCTAGTCAATATGAGTTAGCCCTGCGTCCGCGCGGTTTTATACTGAGTCTCGCGCGCGATGCCCATCCGATTTCCACGTCAGGAAGTTATGGGACGACTACTGAAGGGACTAGGAGTGTTGTCGCGTTGTTCGATGTGTGTGTGTGTGCGTTTTATTTTTGCGTTTGTTAGAGTGGTGTGCGCGTGGTGTGTGGGATGCATTCTAGGCGACCGACGTCGAGCCACGCTTGGGTCCTCAGCCCCCCAAGATGTCGGTTCGTGTGCGGGTCCGGTAGGCGTATTACCGCGCGTACCCCCTATGCTACAGCGAACGAGAAACGCCTTCGGCTGGTCCACCTCTGCGATTGCAACAGAGTAGCTTTCGTACTGTGGACTGGTAGCTCGGCGGGGATACGCCCACCGAAGGGAGGTGACAGCTCCCGTAAGGTGGAGGTAAGTTGTGCCTCGCGTAGGCCATATCCTGTCGTAGGGGCTCGCGAGAGGTATGGATGGCGCACTCGGCCGGAGCGGCCTAAGGAAGCGCCATTTGCGCGTTCGTGTTGAGGTTGGTCCAACTCCTGCGTGACGTGGGCGAGAGGGTCCCGCGCTGCCGCGTGCGGCGCCGGACCGATGCGCCCGACAGGTGGCCCCGTTGCCGGGGATAACGGTTGCCTACCGTTGTCCCTGGTGGAACGACATTCGGGTATTGGAATGTGAGAAATAGGCAAAGTAAGAAGTTTCTCTTGACTTTCATGGTTAATCGATTGTTGGTATTGGATAGAGACCAAGTGAGGGGTGATCGTGCGAGTTGGTTCTATTCGGTGCAATAAGGGTGGCGTGATAGGGATAAGCTTTGACTATGGACCCACGTACGTTGACTATGCGCGCACGTACTTTGACTATGCACTTGCGTACTTTGATTGGTGTGACGGTAGTTGGTGTGGATACCTCTTCTAACCCTGATAGTTGATGGGTTTGGGCGATTGTTTGCATGTTTGATACTACTAAGGTAGGATGAGGTGGTATCAGCAAAACTAAGTGTGGGTTGTGGGGGTTGGCCGTGTAGGGTGTCCATAATGGCCAAGGGAAGTTACCCGAGCGGTCAGGGATGCAATATAGCACTATGGCTTTTAGGGCGAGGCATAGAATGAGTAAAGGAAACCTACTATGTTAGAAGTCGTTAAGGGACATCGAGGAGAGTTAGGCTAGGGATATTGAGAGTCTGTACGAGTATGAGTTGGGATCCTGGAATTTGGGTTCTAAGTAGTTACTCGAGTTGTATGGCCATAGAAGTATGAGGCTTGCTCCGCATGGTATGTTTGAAATTAGGTGTATAAGGCAGTAAAGAGATGCAGTGAGCACCGTGGTAAGGCCCCAACAGAAAGGACTACGAGAAGTAGTAGACTTGTATGGCGCCTGATAGTGGAGGGTATACCATGTTATTTATGGTAGACCATTGCTTCGAGCCCCTCCTAGGGTCGGACCATCCACTGGAATTTATGAGTTGGAACTAAGGACCTGAGATTAATCGTCTGAGGGCATTTCTATTTGAGTTATATGTTGAACTCAGTCCTATATGCCGGATACTGTCTGATTAAGCTTGCCTAGCGTCTAATCGTGTGAGGCTATGTGCTTGGTGATTATAGTCCTTTGATAATTATCCTTGTCAGAAATATTTATATAGGCTATGCATCTGAGGTATGCATTTGAATTATCAGTCTGCCAGAATTTATGTGAGCATCTCAAGTCCAATTATTAACCTATGGGCGTTTATATGTGTTTGGACTGCTCCTCAAATAAGGGTAGAAATGTTAGAACGCGATAATTAGCATGGTAACCGAAAGCGTATGTTGGACATTTTTTCTGTGATGGGCAGAGCCTGGACCAGAGCAAAGGCAACTCAGGATGCCTTATGCTAAGGAAGATCCCAGTGTGACCTTGCCTGTCAAGAAGGAAGATGGGCTTGAGATTTCCTTGCCAAGGCGTGTCAAGGAGGGAGAGTATATCTCTTCCTGGTGGGGCGCATTGATAGGCAAAGATATTTTCGCCTGGATCGAGTCCGGTCTCGATGATGATCATGGATGCGCGATCGTGAGGGTGACTCTGTACGCCTCTTCCTCATTCTGGGTCGGGCATGGGGTTGAGTTGGCACTTGGGCACGGGAGCTTGCTCGCGAGGCCTTTGAGAGTGGCTGAGGCAGCTGCAGTGAAGTTGGCGAAGGAAGTGTCTAGCGATGGAGAAGAGCAAGTGCTGACCTGTACAGAGGTCAAGCGTGTTGAGGAGTTTGTGCTTCCGTCAGCGCCACTACGGGTCATCCTGCCCGAGTTTCTCATTGAGAAGTGTTTTGGTGGACAGTCGAGGATATTGGCAGCAGCTGACGCCGCTTTGAAAACACGGGAATGGGGGAGTGGGTGCTATACATGCGAGCTGGTATACGGATTGTATCTGGACCTAAGGTTTTCTCCTCCTAGTCAGTGGCTCAGGAGCATGGCTAATGTGGTCGACGCATATGCTAGTTCCCATGACCCAGATGAGGGAGTAGGAGACTGGGATGAGATTCGGGTGGCAGTAGTTAGGTAGCGAATGCCTTCTCTCCTACTAACTGCGCTTCCTTTGGCTTGGCTGTGGTCGTCTCTCTATCCATTATCGTAGTTATAAAGGTAAGCGTCAGGGTAACTAGGGGTTGAGGCCTGATTGCATGAGTGAAAGGGTAGATAGCGTGATTTAAGTGTTAGCAGTTTGCCCTTGTCTGCCTAAGCTTACTTAAATCTTTGTTTGATGATCTATTGCCCGCTTTGCGTATCAGACGGCCATCAGCGTCATGGCGGAAGAGAGTGGCTTTGCCAAGATCCTGCGTTGGAGGAATTCGTGTCAGATGAAGGTGTTGTTGTGCGAGGCACTGCGAGAGTCGATGCCGCCAGACCTCCGTGCTTTATTGTTCCAAGGAAGGAACTTGTCTGACTTCCTACATGACTTTCAGGGCTTCAGCCTTATGAAGAAGTGGGACGAGAGGGCGATGAGGTGCATGTTCTCGCTGTTTGTTTGTGGAAGACTAAGTGAGGAGGTATATACCGTCAAGCAGGAGTCAAAAACGTGGGATGAATTGGTGCGTTCCTTAAGGCTAAGATTCCTAGAAGATGGAATAGAAGGCCCACGTGGGGAATGCTTTGTGCCACCAGTTGCGGACGCACCATCGCAGGCGGAGTTAAGTGGGTTACAAAGACAAGTAGGGGTATTGGAGGAGAGGTTAGCACGGCTAGAAGAGGCGAGGAAGGGTAAGCGGAAGGTTTCAGAAGACTCCCCAAGTAAGTCGGCTGGCCAGGGTGAAGGAGGAGTAGAAAAGGGTGGCCAGGAATCGCCCCTCTCGATAGGAACCCCAAAGAGGCAAGCCAGTGTTCAGGCGAGGGACAGAGGCAAGAGAGAGGATGAGATAAAGGAGGAGCGTGGACCTCTCAAGTTGACAAAGGCGCAGCGGAAGGCGAGGAACCTCGCTCAGGGCGGTCAAGGTACCGAAAAGGGACAGAGTTCGCAGCAAGTAGCGGCTACCCCGCAAGAGGGGGAAGGGGAGCCAAGACCAAGGGGGCCTCCTCTGATCGAGCAAGCATTACATGGGCAGTGGACGCCGGGTAACCGAATGAACTTGTGGCCGGCACACAGTCCTTATATGTCCTCGGCACAAAGCAATTATATGAGCCCTTGGACGAACATGATGCCCTGTGGGCCCCCGCCAGTCCAAATCCAACCCGTCGGACCGTTGTGGCCACCGATACAGCAAGCTTCGCAGGACAGTATGACAGTTGGAAGGGGCCGAGGAGATGGAGGGCGTGGCACTACAGGCTGAGGAGATGGCGAGCGTGACACTACGGGCCGAGGAGATGGCGGGCGTGGCACTACGGGCCGAGGAGATGACGGGTGTGGCAATACGGGCCGTGGAGATGGTGGACGCGGCAATAGAGGCCGTGGGAATGACAGGCAAGGCGCCGAAGGTCGCGGCAGGGGCCAGCGAAACCATAAGTGGGGCTCAAAGAAGAAAGGGGCATGATGATGCCGAATGAAATGGTCATTAGAGTGAGCCAAGTGATTAAGGGTGCAGAGAGGGTAGATGAGACGACTAGGGCAGAGAAAGTATAGTAGGACGTAATGGGGGTTCACCCTAACTCCTGGGTTGGGAAGTTTCTGTCAGCTGCCTGCCCTGGATTTTTGGATTCGTGTTGGTAGGGGCTAATTGTACATGTATTGATCTGGAAACTGGAGTACCAGGCTAACCATTGCGTGACTCTAACCCCATACTAATTGGTAAATGTTAGTTGCATATTATCTGGGTCGGGGCAGACATATACTTGGATGTGTCTATGTGCATAGGTTAGATCTGGGGAGAGGTTTCACAATAATGGTCCGGTAAAGTAACTTAGGTTGTAGTTAGCTCAGCCGTATAGGTGAAACCAGAGGGGGCAATGAGTAAGTAGGGACTAGTTCGCCTGTACGTCAGTAAGGACCAAGGTCTTTTGTATATTGGAACGAAGCTAAATATGTGCATATCTAGGGGTAGTCACGATTAGCTTGTCCATCTGTACATATGCAGATTGTAGTGCTGGACGAACCTTTGTTGTTTCTTTTTGATGTGATTAAGGTGATTGTGTCCAGATGTGTGATATGTTGGCACAGTTGGGATAGATTTATGTGACTTGGGTCTTTGTGTATGTGTGGTATATTCCGAGGTATTCGCGTGTTAGGGACGTGGACCACTTGGTAGGATGGGGCAAGGAGTGACCCTGAGGGCATTGTTACGAAGTAGGGATTTGTTCCATTAAGGCCTACTGATCGAGAGAAGGAGATATGGGATTTACTTCATGCCTAGGCTTAGATAGACGTATATGTGTGAGAGGTAGGAGAGGGTTGGGAAGAAACCTCAGCGTGGGGGAAATAGGCCATCTAACCTAGGGAGGAAGTTGCAGGATTGGTATATGGGCGACTCCTAGCCTTACTTTCCTTTAAGATATCTGGATATGTCCTCGAATTACTTGGACCCCTTGGATTGAGGAGTACGACTACGTCGTGATCTAAGTGTTTTAGCTATAGCCTTGGTCAGGGCAACTGCATTTGTTCTTGTGTGATACCCGTGATGACTTGAGTTGAGATTGTTCGACTCCAAGTGTATATATATAATTCGGGGCATTTGGCTCGCGTTTAAGTTAGGGCATTGTACCCCTGTGTATATATTCAGTTGAGGTTTTTATCCGAGACTACTCTTTGTATATGACGATCACAATCACTCTCACATGTGTGGTTTTATCCTGATATATGATGATTTTGCGTGAGAAACGCATGAAGAACATCTCATGAGTTGTGTGGATTTTGTGAGGATGAATGGATGTGAACTGTCTACTCTTCGGTATACTCGTGCGGCCTGCCTATAGGCAGGACGGGGCCGAGTATAAGGAGAGGGAGCGCAGTCTGTTATTGTGAAAGCGTGAGAATCCTAGGGGATTTTGCGAGTCTCTGAGACTCGAATACTTACCATGTCGGGTGTCTTATGGTTAGGTCGCAAAAAGGGTCCATAAATAGGCCCCTCTGTTGAGTTGGTTCGCGGTTGAGTTGTGGAGAGGACCCATAAGTAGGCCTCTCAGTTTGAGTTGTTCTATGGTTGAGTTGTACTATGATTGAGACCCCTTCAGATTAAGGAAGACGATAATATTATCTGTCGGGAGACTCATCCCCAAAAAGGGGGGTGTTTTAAAAAGGGTCGTGTGATAGCTCATCCTAAGAAAAGAGGGATGGATGGGAGACCTATTGAGAGAGACCTCCTTCGTGTGAAAGGTAGTTAATGGATTTAAGGGCATGATAAGCAGTGCTTGAGTGATAAAGTCTGAAGAAAGGGACCACGTTTGTTTGAGATGTTTGAGAAAGTCGCAAAAGAGTGCAGGGCGAGAGACGTCTCAGGATGGGTGACTGCTGACTCTGATCAGGTCAGGGGTCACGACCTTGTGGACCTAGCGGTGATTTTGTTTGTGATTGTGCGAAGGATGTCATGCCTTTCGTGGGAGAGCTGGCAAATGCCTTCAGACCCCTGCGTGATCTCGCAGTGGGCCAATTCTAACCACTTGTGGAGTCTTCAAACCCCTGCGTAATCTCGCAGTGGGCCCGTTCGTGGGAGAGTTTGTGATTGGTTTTGCGACGCTCCGTCTAACCACTTGTGCTAGTTCTGGGACATAGTAGGGGAATACCAAGCTAAGCGGTAAAGATTAGCACCTTTAGGGCGTAACCCCACTGGATGGCTGCTAGCCGGCACAACCTGGCTGCGGGACCGCGGAATAAGAGTTTAAGGGGAGTTGCCCGCCCCAGGGAAATTACTCCGTGGGGTAGTAAAGGTAGAGAATTTTTGGGAAATCTTGATTGAATGCTTATCAGGAGAAAACCTATTGTTGCGTAACCAACGAGGGTACTGGCGCTAAAGTAACAATGCGGTGGGCCGTAGTCCTGGTCCGATCAGCCAGGCTATGGTGGGTCGAGATGGAGATCTAGCCTTTCTGTACTAGACTGCAGAAAGAGCTGAGTGGGTATTAAGNCGTAGTCCTGGTCCGATCAGCCAGGCTATGGTGGGTCGAGATGGAGATCTAGCCTTTCTGTACTAGACTGCAGAAAGAGCTGAGTGGGTATTAAGTATACAAATATACGTATGTGTATTTGATTGCGAGAGATTCTCTGAGAAGGAAGGCGAGAGTGCCTTCAAAGGTCTCGGTTAAGGCCCGCGTCCCTAGTTTTGGCCAGGACTAGGGACACCCAATGAGAAGCCGAAGGTTGTCTAGGACCGGGGAGAGGATGATTGGGAAGGTCTTTGGAACTTATGCTGTCAGCGTCCTAATGCCGGGGCGGTGAGAGCCCGGGTTAGAAACCTGACAGCATATAGTTGTGGAGCCATGGTTTGATGGAGGCCTCTACCCTATGTTTGTCGGCTAATCGGATTGGTTCCTTTTTCGTCAGCGTCTTGAGTAATCTGATCGCTTTTCGATTTTGCGAAGCGACAGGGACGTCGCTTAATGTGGTCCAGTAAGCTGTCGGCGCGAATACCCTTATAAGGGTATCCGCCCTGGTTTTTGCAAGTGACAGAAAACAAGTTTGACCTGGAATTGTTGAGAAGGCCACGCGACTTGCGGCAGTGTGGTGACTATAGGTTAGCTATGAGGTCTAGAAGTAGAGAGTGCGTAGGCGCGCAGGGTTTAAGGCGCACATGATTTTTTTTCCTTGTCGTTGATTATGAAGCCGGCGCGGACACCGGCCGATTTAACTCTGTTTTACTTTCATTTTTATTTTTGATTAAGTAGGAATTAAGGATATTTCCCTGCGACCGAGGCAAGCGCGCGTGCGAGGACGACGACATCGACAACGACGGCGCGACTTCGTGCGGTGAGCAGGGCGACGTAGGATGGTGCGCGGGGCAATTATGGCACGGTATAAGCAAGCCGGCGTGGGCACTGGGAGCCGCGCAGCCAGGTTGTTGGCCCAAAGCGCCATGCCACACTACCTTGTATGGTACTCTGCGGACACTAGTCTCAGGCTTGGGCTTAGCCCTATAGGTTACGGCATTCGGTTGACGATACGGCAGTTCGGAGATCGAGGCCAGTTGGCGCAGCGACTGTAGCGGAGCGTCGTGGAAGGAGCTGATGGGGTTGAGGGCCGCCAGGGCTATCCCCGTCGGTTTTGTCCGTAGGCACGGTGGCGAGGCCAATCCGCAGGGCCATGCATGGAATTCGCGGGATTGCTTGAAATGCAAGTACAAACCGTTTTCGCGACTGCGCCGAAGTTAACCCCTTTTTATCTCTACTACCCTTTTATATCTCGACTTTCCCTCACCACATCCCACGCTGGGACGCGGTACTGCGGCTGGCGCTGGAACCTATGGGCCTAGCTCAGCGGTATACCCTTGGACTGTTGAAATGTAGGCCTGAGCTCGAGCCCAGTTGGGTTTGCCTTGGGCCCGGGCTGTGTCCTTCGGGACATTTGTTGAAGTTGGAACGATGCAGAGAAGATCAGCACGGCCTGGCACCTGAGAAGAAGGAAACGAATCTAGCACCGATCGAAGCCAGATACGGGGAAGGGGCCATTTGACCTTTCGACATCGCTGCGAGGCGCTACCGTGGGTTAGCCGTCGGGACATCCATCGAGGCGGGAATGATACAGGGGAGATCGGCTCGGTCCCGGCGCAAGGACGATATGCATATATCGGGGGAGGTCCGACCGCCGGGTGCTTTTCGCACTTTGGCGCCCGGCTGTTAGTCGGACCGTGCAGCATTGAGAGGCCGGGTAACGTCAACGGGGGGGCGAGGCGGAGAAGCGAGTGCACACGGAGAGAGGAGCGGGGCAGGGCGAGGCAGTGGAGTGGCTGAACCCGGAAGGAAACGGGGGCCGGTGTCAGGCGGCCACAAGCAGTGCGCCGCCTGAAATTTACGGGTTTAGGGACTTAGGCTCAAAGACAAGTCCGTGCAATGACGATACTCTGGTTTGACCAGGCAGCAAAATTAGGGGTACCCCAAGTATCCCTAAGATTGGATATGACGACCGTTGAGACTAGCTCTCGAAATTGATAAGAAGGACTACCTCTTCTACCGCGGCGGCGTCTATCTCAATACCGCCGTCTTTAGCTTGTTTCCGGGACGGCCGCCTGCTGAACAGCAAGATGAAGATAGGCTTAGGTGTGGTTCTTTTACGCCTCACAACTGGCGCAGAAGCGGGGCCTCGGATATCATCAATTTTGGCATCAAAATTAAAGAAAAGAGAACATGAATTTAAAACAAAAGAAGAAAAGAGAAAAAYGGAATATTCATTAATTTATTCAAAATCTTTGATATTTGATTTTAAACAGGACCGCCCTCAATTATTGGAATTTCTGACAATAGAGTTAAAAATAAGAGAAAGGGATCAGAAGCGATAAAAGAAAAAGAAAACAAAAAATTTTCGTTATATAATTGAATTCCATCGGAATTTATTTTTGACAAGATTCCTTTATTTTCGTTATTTTCGATAATGGAACTAAGAAATAAGGAAAATAATTAAAAAATAATAAAACGAGAAG